TATGATTTAATAATCAGCAACTTTATACGGGGCTATTACTGAATTTATTGCTAAATAAGCTTATTTTTGCTATCTTAATTAAATTTTGTATTTTCAATCACAATTGTGAAATATATTGTTCACTAAGTGTTTGTAAAATATACGTGTTAATGTTGAATCTATGATTGAAATTTTGCTTAGATGCTTGTATAAATTTATCAAAAGATTATTCAAAAACAAAATTAAATAAAATACTTTAGTATATTGTTTGTTACTAATCGTTAATTATAATCAATTTTGAAAAATAATTTCCTATTTGTAATCTGCTATAACTAAATTAGAGCCTATATTTTTATTACATTTTTTTTTGTATTAAAATTAAATTATTTTATTTTATGGAGTTATATTTCTATTAATTAAAATTCATTATGATATTTCAAAAAATTTAGCTGTTAGCATACAAATATCGATGTAACAAAGTATAATAAATAATAAATTAATAAAATTATTTATTATTATAAAAACTATGATTTTTTATTTAATGAATATTTAAATGAAATTATAACACAAAGTGATTTTCGTTATTTTTTCGATAAATTAATGAAACAAATACTTAATTTTTTTGTATTTTGAAAATGTTTTAATTTTCGAGTTTCTATTTAAATCTATTTGTGAACGTTTATCTATATGTGCAGTAGTTTAAATGAAAATAAAAGAAATATTATCTAATGAAGCTAATTTTTCAATTAGCTTGATATAATTGCATACAATATTTTAGATGATACACTGTATTGTATCCTTCAAAATTATTTATTTACAGCTGATTTATGATTTATTGTATCCAATCAACATTTAAGAATAATTTAGTACTTATTCAATATTTTTAAAAATTGATGCCAATTGTATATTTTACTTTGTTAATAAAATATTATTTTGAATATATGAGTTAAGATAAGAGTTTATACTGTGGTTTACATTTTATAAATAATCGCAGAAATATTTAAAATATTTATTTTAACAATATAATACATTTTTCCAACAATAAAGTAAAAGAAGTAGTATTGTTTGTATTTATTTATATCAATTTAGCGATAATGTTATATTTTTATTAAAACTTATGCTTATTATTAATTAATAAATATATAGTTAATATGACGTAAATATTAAGTAAATAGTAAAAAAAAAAAATAAAAATCAAAATTAATCATCATTAATCAATAACAATAATAAATTTTATTCGTACGTTCTGATTATTAATGTATGGAACACTGTATATATTATTTAAGAATAATTCTTATATGATTTTTGTTTATGTATACAATTTCAATACAATACAATTACAAGTTTTGTAAATATTATTTATTTAATTTACATTTGAAAACAAATATTTAATTTGTATCAAAATTTTATATATATAAATAATATATTAAATTATATTTAAATTACTATTCATTAACTATGTTTTAATTATTTTATTGAAAAAAATAATAGATTTTTAAAAGATATTTCTTTCTTTCATAAATAATATCAAGTTTTTTAAGAAAAAAATTGCATAACCATGTGTTATTAAAAATAATTTACTTCTGAAATGTACGTAATTATTATTCATAACTATATTTGTACAGAATATATCTTTAAAAACGCTTAAAATAGTTTTTGGTAAGGGAAATGATTTAGCCAAGTAAATGATATTTATGAATGGAGCAGAGTCTGGTAAATTAGAAAAACGATTATACTGAATGTGTAAAAAATAATAGATTTAAAGAATGAATATTAGTAATATAATCAGTTAACAAAATTTGCATTTTTCAATTATAATACAATAACCAATCTGATATATATTAATATAATTACAAGTTTTTCATAGTAAATTCTTTACGGTTATAAAAGTAGAATTTCTTATCTTGAAAATTGTAATACTGTTGAAAGAACAATAATAGTTAATGACATAATGATTTTCTCAATTTTATAATTTTCAATCAATATTTTGTAATAGTCCGCCAGTTTCTTTAGATTGTAATTTAATATTGTAATAATAATTTATTTACTAAAAAGTTAGCTGATTGTATGCTAGAATTGAATAAAAATTTATTATACATTAGGAATTCATTTTTATTTTATTATAGTTGAAGTATATAATAATTAAATTTTTATCCGAATTTGAAAATAATTATTTTAATATTTTATATATTGCCAAAGTTGGTTCCTTAAAACTTTTACAGTTATCGAATATTTACAATAAATGAAATCTCTAATAATTTAAAATACTCAATATAGAAGGTGTCGACAATTTTAAGTGTATTGAATACAATCAATGTATATTTATTATATAATAATTAATAGGCTGTTTAAATCTTCATTTAAATTGATGTTATAATTATATTTAAATATATAATCAAAGTACAATTGTATTTGAAATTACGAATTTTTATGGAGCACCGTAGGTATGTTATATACTTTTATAATAATTATTAAGCAAGAACAGTTAATTTATTAGAGTTTTTAAGATATGATTCAGTAGTCAGATAGTTCAGTAAAATGTTTTTATTTACATCATAATTTATTTGCAAATTTATGTGGAGTAATATGCTTGAAATATACTATGTTTTACACATAGTTTTTTTTTATGTGCTTTAATACAATAATAAATTATAGACATAATGAACTTATATGCGATAATCTATATTTATTATATTTTTTATAGTTGAATTGGAATCATTAAGAAAAAATATTCTATTAAAATATTTATAGACTTTTTATTCGAAATTTAAATATTTTTATTAAAGTGATTACTTTAAGATTTTTTAATTGTGAATTTGTAATTTATATGAAATCTTCTAGTTAAATAAGTTCTTTTCATTTTTGATAGGTTTCTTGAATGTTATTTAAGAAAATTTAAGTAAATATTAATATTTGGGAAGGCCAACAATTGGCTGTTACATTATTTGCGTTTAAATACTATTGCAAATTATCATTTGAATAAGTGCCAAGTATAAATAATTAAATATGTTATTTTTCTTCTTTAAATATTAAATATTATTAACTTACTTTCTTTATTTATGATTTAATAAATAAAGAAAGTATGTTGAAAACTTAGAAAGCTTTTATTTCTACAGATAATTATCTTATAATTAACCTTGTATTTAAAATTATATTAAAATATCTTATTTTCATTTATTTTTTATTAAAAAAATTTATACGAGGATATATTTTTTTGAAAACTCATAGTCGATCGGTAACAAAAATATTTAAATTTAAAATTAAACGAAAATTTTTATTATTTTTGATAATTAGAATATGATACAAGCTTTCTAAAATATTTTGAAGACCTGACTATCTTTTTATCTTAAAAAAAAAATTACTAAAAATTACTTTAAAGCCTTTTTAATGTAAAATATTTGAGTTTAAATATTATAAAAAAATTTTTGTTTTTAGCACATATGTTTAACATAAATAATTTACGTTTATTTTAAATTGAAATATTGACAGTTAACTTTTATTTAAACGACAAATATTGAACAAGTTTTGTAAAAATATATTATTTTTGTTTTATTATCATATTTTACTATTGATGGGCAATAAAAATAAGAAAAATTGCTTTTCCATCTAATTGTAATTATACATTAAAGCATATATTTTAAAATTAACTTGGTCATGGATCTGTATGATGAAAAACAGTTAGACAGAGGACGCCAGCTTATGAATGTCAAATATTATCGTTTGAAGATAACAAGGAATACTGTAAATGGATACATAGTTTTTACATATTATTTAAATATTAAGACGTTATTATTATTATTTCATTGATTTACAAATAACATGGATGTAATGACGATTAAGTAAGTTACATGATATCACGATTGGAAATAGGTAACAACATATTTATCTAATAATTCCATCGGTAATGCAGGGGCCTCATTAATCATGAAAGCGTCATCAAATAACATGTAAATTTCAGAATTTATTTTTCAATTAATTTTCTTATTATATTTTAGGCAATAAAATTTTTTGCAAAAGTGTTTAAAAAATCTTAAATGAAAAAATAAATTGTTTATAATATGATTGATCATGCATCGTTACTATATTTATTTATTGTCTTTAATGTAATCGATATTTTTATTATATATACATGTATAAAAGATATAAACCTTTTGACTGTTACAAAATAATATTACATAAAGATCAATAATGGACGTTGATTTTAAAATAATTTTGATAGTAACATGAAAAATATCATACATTTTAATTATTTATTCTATGTTTGAATAATTTCTTTTATTAATGGTTATAAAATTTAGGAAATATCATTACTATTTAATCGACTAATTTATATACAACATTCTTTGTGTATTTCTTTAATTTTAGTACATTCAAGATGTAATCCCTATATTATTAAGAAAAAAAATTAAATATGCAACCACATATTGTTGAAAAGAATTTTAAAACTTTTTTGTATAATTGTATAATGGTAAAGTTCTTGTAAAAAAGATAATTGATTTTCAAATTTGGACTTTAAAGTCGTGATTAGATAGTCAATGATGGAAATTTTAGTTTCTTTTCTTATTTAGAACATTATTTTATGAAGAAAATTTTAGACATTAAATTTGAAGGAAAGTGTAAATAAATTAATAAATAAAAAAAAAGATTAAAAATGATAAAGTATGAATTTTTACTAGAAAATGAAGTAATTTTTATTTTTTTTCCCCTCAACAGTTTGAAACCGAAACTTTCTTCACGTAGGAAACATTTGCGGTGAACTTCAGAGGGATCGTTTGATGCAAATGGTTGAAATGTGTGTAAATGCATATACATGTTGTCTCTCTCCTACTGCGATCGACCCCTGGATAGCTAAAGTAACGGAGAAAGAAAGAGATGACGTGCACGATGTTGAGCATGAAAGCGAACGAGCGAGCGAGTGAGAAGAAGAATGAGTACGAGGGAGAAAAAGATGGAATGAAAATGTGAGCATAGCAGTGCAAAGAGCAACACAGTACATACACAATCGAACTGTAAATTGAGGAAGGCACGAAAGATGTCACGTCTTCAAAGGATATAACGGTGCGATTGATCTGATTATAATAAGATTGTGTTTTAGTATCGTTTCGGTTCGTATAGTTCATCGCGACATAAGCGAGTCATAGTTTCGATTAATTTTCTCCTATTTTCGCTAGAGAATAAAGATAAGTTTTTAACAATAATGCCAGGGTAAGTTCTGTTTATCATTGCATTTGACCGTGTAATGCAAGATTGTATGGCAAGCTTATCAAACGCGAAAAAATGTAAACAAGATTGAGAACGAAGTAGTGGATCATTGTGTATATATATATATATATATATATATATATATATATATACATGTACATTCTTCCTCTCTTTCTCTTTTGCTCTCCCTCCTTTGCCTCTGCCTCTTTCTTTTTGTTGCGGTGATATGGTTTATGTACTCTCTTCTGACACTTTTGACGGTGAAGTTTCCTTTTTTGGCTTTATAACTTTCAAGCCACAAAAATATTACAAACTGTTTTTCTGCTGTAAAAGATTTGATTTTTCGCAATTCATTATTCAGTTAATTCATTTTTCCACTTTTGAAATGCATAGTAATTTCTATTTAAATATTTTTTCAACTTTATAAATTTTATCACAGCTTTATATAAATGGGTCTTTGAAGTGTTATAAGAAAGCTACAAGCTGATTTTTAGTATGCGATTGAAAATTTGGTTTTTCTTTATTCAATTATTTAGCACTGTGTTTATTAAATTGTTGCATAATTTTTATTGTTTTACTTTCACTATTCCATAGGTGGCACTTTAGTGTATTTACAAGGCGTTTAATAATCAATAATACAAGTTGATGAATCTAATGTGAGAATGCAAGTTGTTCTGAAATGGTAACTCTTCAATTATAAAACTTCCTTTTGCATATTAACGAACCTAGTTTTTATTAAGTTACACGTACGCGCATTCTCTCCTGCCTCCCCCTCCCCCGTAACACACACGAGGGAAAAAATATTTTTTTAAATTTTTGTCATTGTAAATTTTGTTATGAACTTGATAATATTAATATTTTAAAATCATTGCATTCATTGAAAGATTTAACTAATTCAAAATTAATATTAAATATTTTCATTGAATCTTAATTGTTTGCAGATGTCAAGCTATAATAGAAATACAACCGCTCAAAGAAGAGCAGCGGTGATAGATTATGAACGTCAGTTTCAAGAAGATTTAGAACGAGCACAAGCATTGAGTTTAGAGAGCTTAGCATTAGAAAAATTTAGACTACAGAAGCAACAGATGCAATATGGCAAAAATTTTACTCAGGAAAATTATAGCAACCAGAGCACAAGCTCGTGCATTAATAATACTACTATCAGTAATACAACGGAAACTGATGGTTCGATCCATGAAAAGTAGGTGTAATCATCAAAACATACACTACAATTATACATATTATATAGTATAATTATATTTTTTAAAAATTACTATTGATATTACTTTAATCGGTATCGTTAATAAAATTGAAAAAGCAGTAGCGAATATTGATACTCGGTCAATTTCAATTTTAATTTGATTTCAATTTTAACATTGTTCAATAGTTATTTTGGATTATTAAAGTAATTTGAATTTTTTACTCTTAGTAAATTTCAATTGAGAAGTAGACCTAGGCCTGGTAGTAATACAAATCAATCTAGAAATGCAATGATCGTACAACTACAACCTCCACCGGTTCCGTGTCGAAGAAACTCAACGGTTAATCAGAGTCAATCAACTGATTTGATTAATTTTACAAGTCCTGTTAAACAGGATAGTTTAACAGAATACTGTTGTGCTCCACCACCATTACCTTCGTAAGTACCGACTGATAAGCTGCTTTTAAAAATAATAATTATAATAAATATGTCAATATTGGCTCTATATATGTACAATATAATATTATAAATTATACAAGTTATTGAATTGAAATTGAAGGGTCACTAATGCAGAATAGTTTTACAGTTAGATTATTAAAATGTTTTTTAAATGATAAATTTTCGTTATCAGATAAATGCAATCGAATTAATATCCAAAATAATATCTAAAATTAGAAAATAAATAATGATCATTTATTGCTTTAATGGAATAACGTATTTAATTTATATTATAGGAAAACAGTGGTCGAACCAAAATGGGAAAACCATACTGCATTAATGCAAAAAAATTCTCGAGTATCAAGAAGCAACAGCTCAGCAGCTGCGTATCAAACAACAGATTTTAGATATAATACAGCAGTACCAATACCAGGACCTAAATCTTCAACTGCACCATGCACACCAGCAACATCTGGGATAAGTCCAGTTTTATCAAGAGCTGGCAGTGTTAGTAATAATGTACCTGATATTGTTCCACAGGTAATAATTTTAATTAGCAAAGAATATGCAAATTATTAAACCGGAGATTAATTAAAAAAAATTCATTTATGCTTATTTATATTATTTTTTTAATTTACATTTCATTCCTATTAATTTTGATTATAATATTCTAAATCGCTCATATTAAATAATTAATTAAGTAAAAAAAACATTTTCTGAAAGAATAGATATTTACAAAAATAAGATTTTATCATTAAAAATTTTAAAACTCTTAGGTAACAAGTCATTTGTTTAACACAATGTTTTTATAATTCCAGCTTACTTGGAATCCATATACATTTAGAACTTATATTCTTCAGGTATTTTTGTAGCTCTTTGCACTAATAGCACTTCTAGGTTTGCTGTAAAACAAAAAAGCCTTATCATTATACATTAAAATAATTTATTCTTATTTTAAGCTTACCTTTTAATTTTTGTCACCGCTAATCAAGATTTCCTTTATTTTACTATATTTTTCTAATTAAAATTAAACTTTTTTGTTTTTTAAATAAATTATGAATATATTTGATATTTTGCTTTTTAAAATTATAGATAATAATTATTTGATTTTTTTGATTATCAAATGAATCATATATAGCTAATTATTAAAAAGTATTATATAATTAGAATTATAAATTAGAATCTTTTAAGCTAATGGATTATAAAAAATTAATTAATCAATAACTTAACGATAATTAAGTGAATATATTAACTATAATTTTGTATTTATTAAAAATTCTTAACTTTAACAATATTTACAAAGTACTTTGAAAACTTTCACAAAGATTTTTCTCAATTTCATTATTAAAATTAGTTAGGAAAAAATATAAGCAAAAAAGTTTTTATAGTTTTATTAAACAAAAGAAAATATATAATCAGTCTGTGATGTGTTCGAATTATTATAATATTTTAATCACTGTTTATAAATGTGTTTTCAAGATTGTTTGTTAAATAACAGTTATCTGAAAATAAGAAATTTATTTATTGGACCACTTTATATCTTTTTCTAGATACCACCATTACCATCGAATTATCGGCCAACAATTGCCCCTCTACCAGTGAATAAAATTCCGCAACTTACATATCCATTGGACGATGGACAATTAAATGTCTTTAAGGTTATAGAAAAAAAACCAAATAGCAATCTTATAGATTTAAGTGTCATTGAACATTTCGAAGACAAATCAAATGTTAGAGTTAGTGTACTTGAGGCATTCGATCCCCTTCTTATAAAAACAATTAAAGCTGATGAAAACAAGGAAGCTATTGCCGTTAAGGATTGTAACAATGGTAATTTATAAATCTACGAATAAGTTTCTATTACACACAGTAATTTGAAACTTTTTAAATCAATGAGTGTCAAGCGATGATTAATGAAATTTGATTGTATTGTAATAGCTTAAAAAATTTCTCGTATATTTACTTAAATATTTCAATATTTAATTAATAAAAAAAATAACGGTAATAATAATATTTATATGGATAGCTTAAATAACATTGGAAAAATTAATAATCGAGTTCTCAAATAGTTTTTAATATATATATATATATATATATATATATGAAATATTAAAATTTTATTGCCTAATAATATTTTAAAATAAATAAAAACAATATTTAATGATAAAATTTGAAAAAATCTATGAAACTATCGAAAGAAATATTTTTATAATTAAAATATCAATATTATTCATTGTATGAAGATTATCAATTTGATAAATTTTAAAAACTGTATTTGTTAACCACCGTTAAATATTTTAGATGCCGATTCACCAGTTGAAGGGTCTGTTTATGATCCCTTTGATCCATTTGATTATATGTATAGTACAAGTGAAACAGTTAATTCTGACCCGGTATACGCAGCTGTTGATAAATCTACAAAATCACCTGCGGTCTCCCCAGCGGCTCCTCCACCATTACCCCCAAGAAATTCATCCGCCTGGAATACAATTGAAAGAAGAAGAACTTCTTTGGATCGAAGGGTAGGATTAAAAAATTTTTTATGTTTTTCTAATTGTACATTTCAGCAAATAATGTTTATTTAATAAATAGTCTAATTCATTTAATAAAAATATATTACAAAATTATTCAAATTGATTTAAAATTTAAATAATTTTGTAAATAAATTCATAAAGATAATGAATCAATTTGTAAACACACTAATAATTCAGTATTTTTTTGTTTTCAGCAAAAGCAGCAAACTCGATTGTATGAAAATGTTAATGTAGTTAAAGTTAGAGCTTCTTTGCATGATTGTGATTTACTAGCTTTTCATAAAATGGTTAAATTAGTCAGAGGTACGTATTCATTTAATAAAAAATATTTAAAAATCGTGTTTTACATAGTTAAATATTAATTTATGGAATTTTTATAGGAGATTTTCCGTATAATAATCCAAGTACCAACATTGGTCATGTTGTTAGTCCAATGATGGAAAGCTCATATCCTGAAAATACCAGTATAAAGTTAATAGTGCACTCAAAAATGTTGAGTGATTTAAAAGATAATATGCCGTCCATATCGTTTACATGCGATGGTTAGCGTTTATTATGATATTTATAGATAGATGTATCTAAATTAAATTCATGAATTTTATTTATTTAACACTACTTCTTTAACAAATACTTTTCTTTTCACCTTTATTATTGAAAGATTGGTGCATTATTATTATATTTATGAAATTAAAAGATTAATGTTAATTTTTAAGAAATTTTTAAAACAGTTTTAAAAGCTAATACATTTGCTATTTGCAGTTAATTGTAGTGTTGAGCACGTGATTCTTAACGTTGCATGTTCCTTAGAAGATGAAGATACTGTTAACGTCGAAAAATACTGCCTTAGAGTTTGGGGCTTAGCAGAATATTTAGCTCCAAATACTAATATTGTACAGTATGAATATGTTCATCAATGTATTAAATTAGAAAAAGATATAGAACTTGCAATTGAAACTAAAATCCAAATGAAACGTTCTATAGCTAGAACAGTAAGTTAATGTGAAATTTTTCGTACGTAAACTGCATTTAAATTAATCTTATATTAATTTTAATACATATATTATAAGTAGCATCAGATATGTCAAAAATATTAATTTGATGTTAATTGCTAATTAAAATTTGTATTTTTGCTTCTTTTTTTTTTTTAGATTCAAGATGATAATCGAGATCAGTGTCTTAAATTGGAAGATATATTACCAAATGAACCATTACAGCCTATTTCTTACGATACCCTTCTTATATTATTGGGTAAGGAAATGTAAAAATTTATTTATTTACAAATTTTATAATTACGTGATTTGATTTGATTAATTTTTGTTTTACTTTTTAACAATTACAATACAAATTAACTTTAATTGGAACTTCTGAAATTATTTGCTTATCAAGATGTTTGCTATTTCAATCTTCAATTATATAAAAATGTATTTTACAGCTAATCTAAAATTAAATAGTTTACACGTATTTATTGTATTTTTAGAGACTGTCGAGAAAGAAATGGAACGAGTCGAAAATACAGCATCACAATTGGCGACATCAATTCACGGGTCAAATCTACTTCCTCAATTACAGCCTCGAGGCGTTGTTCAAGCCGTCAAAGCCGTTTGTACTTTGATGGGTAATGTTGAGACTTATGAGATCACAGAAGCCGTGGATAACTTCGTAAATGCCTGCTGCAAATTTTTACCACAGATACATACTACGAATATTGAATGTAAAAAGCCAGAAATTCTGCATGAGGATGGCGATTACTCGGTTGTAACATTAAGAACCAAATTTCCAGACGTTATTTCGTCACATTGTAATAAAATTCGAGATGCAGTACAAGACCTGGTGGAGACATATTGTCATGCTTTTAGAGTAGATTTTCAACTCAGCAGTAGAGGAGAATATCCTACGAGTAAGATTAGTAAAACATTTATTTACCATTGTTTTAATCATTATTTTGACGAAATGTCCAACTGTATATTGAATATATACTTGTAGATTAGATGTAAGAAAGCATAATTTTTAGATTAATTTTGAAATTTATATTGTAAATTATTAAGAATAAGTAAACAAAAAATACTATAAGTTTGAGTCAGCTTTTTTCATAATGGTTTTTTTTTTTTTTTTTTTTTTTTTGCAGATACTTTAGTTTCTTCACAAGTAATAGATACAGTTTTAGTCAGAGTTGGTGCATTACACAGATTGCCAAGTTCATGGAAGCACGATGATTATATTGTTGCTGCGCAAATTTTTCATGGCACAAGGCCTGTTGGAAATCCAGTGCTTTCGGAACCTATGACTGCTGGTCATTCCAATTTTTATCCTAAAATTTTATTTAATTCTTGGTAAGGTCTTGATGTTAAAATTTTTAATAATATTTCCAAAATTTTATGCCGCAATATCTTACTTTAAATTTAAAATATTAATAAATTAGGTTAGAGTTTCGAGGAATAAGTGTTTGTCAAGTACCGCGGGAGGCTCGACTGGTGCTTGTTGTTTATGGTCGTACTCAACAACCAATCGACCATGAGGCAAATTCAAGCCAAGGAACTATAGAGAAGGAAGAACTGGGTTGGGGAGCCATACAGTTCTTTGATTATGATGGGTATAGTTTATTGTTAATATAATTTAAGTGGTTATTTTATATTTGAACATATTTTCGAGAATTAAAATTTATTAACAATGCGTTATCCATACGTTTGAGCTCATAATCGTGCTCCTTATTATAATTTGTACACCTGGTTTAATATCTTTAAAAGTTTTAATAAACATAGCTTGCAAGTTTTTATTATTATTTTTATTATTTTATTTTATATTTTATGATTAAAACCAATAATTTAGAGCCATTGTTTAAATTTACTTGAAAACAAGTTTATTTATATATCGGTTATTATTGAAATTGCGTTTTACATATGAAAAATATATGATTTTTAGGGTAATGAGCCAAGGAAGCTTTTTTTTATCATTATGGCCAGCAGTTGCTGATAAAAGATTAGGTCCTGCACCAGCACCTGGAATTCATCCGCATGGTGATAAACATCCAATTATTGGCCTGGAACTTCCCGATTATGGTGGAAAAGTTTTATTTCCCACCGAACTTCGAGATCACGACATCGAGTCTCTCGATTTCAACTCATTGGATCAAAATACACAAGAGCTGCTTTTATATATTGCCGAACAAGATACTTTCTCGAGGTATAACACCTTATTGCATTTTATTTTATTAATAATTTGTAAAAAAAAAAAAAATAAATAAATTTACAGAGTTCTATTGGGTTAAAATAATTTTTTATTTTCAGGCCACCTGTTGATGAACGAGAAATTTTATGGGAAAAAAGACATTATCTGCATGAGAAACCAGAGGCATTACCAAAAATTCTTCTAGCAGCTCATAGCTGGGATTGGGCTTGTTTACCTGATTTGCATGCTTCGTTACGCGTATGGAAACCACTTCCGCCGGTTCAAGCTCTTCAATTACTTTTGCCATGGTATAATATGTTGAATTAAATATTTTTATTTAGCAATAAGTATATTCTTTGTTGAATATGGTGAAATTGCTACTGTAGATCATATTCGAAATTAAAAGAAAAACATTAAAAATATGAAATTTATTTTCTTCTATTGTTTAACGGCAATTAGATTTATAATTTATTTATATAACAATTATATAATTGTACGCATAATATAATATTGAATGTTGTATGCATTTATAAATATATAATATTTACAATTGTTTTAATATTATTTGTTTAAATGCACGCAATTTATTTCTAATTTTAAGAGTAGCTCTCGAAGATTTTTTAAATTTATAAAGTTTACAAATAATTATGATAATTTAGTTTACTTTCTAATGTAATGTACATAATGTAATATATTTAACTTTACATACATGTAATTACAATACACAAAATGATTTTCAGTTTTCCAGATATGAAAGTTAGAGAAATGGCTATTAGTCGAATACAGGACCTTACTAATGATGAATTAGTTGATTATTTGCCTCAATTACTTCAAGCATTGAAACACGAAACGTATGAAGCTTCTCCATTAGCGAGATTTCTCTTAGAAAGAGCTTTGCTATCACCTCGGGTTGCACATCACATTTATTGGTTATTAAATCAAGCTTTACCTGGCCAAAGTCCTCAAGTACGTTATATTATTAAAAATAAATTTTCTTCAATATATTTTTCAAATTAATAGAACATTTATTTAGTACATGTTTGTTTTTCTTATTTTTTATAATATCATAACATTTAATTCACTATATACATATTAAATGAATATTTATATAATATTTTTACAATTTTAGTAGCTTTATAAAGTGTATAATTATAAATTTTTTCAATTACTAATAAGTAATTTTAAATTATTTATACTATTAATTGATTTATTACAGTAATACATATTTCTTAATATGCATTTTTTAATTTTTAGAATTCTTCAGAAACATCTTCTCAAGATGACAAAAGTTTGAGTTTTGCTCGGTATCACAGAAGATTACAATTAATGCTTCGTGCACTACTCGCAGTAATTGGAAATGCCTTACGAAATAGTTTTCTTGCTCAACAATTTCTTGTTAAAGTTAGCATAATAATTTTTTTGTATTTATTTTATAGCGTTTGCAGTTTATAATGTATTATATATATATATATATATATATATATATATATATATATATATATATATATATATATAATTTTCGTTTTTAGAATCTACACGAGGTAGCAGAAAATATAAAAACAACCAAAGAATCTTTAAAGGTTGAAGCACTGAAGGTAGGATTGCAAAATATAAATGCTCAATTACTTGAAGATGATGGTACATGTTTACCATTATCTCCAAGTCGACAAGTTGTTGGAATCAATGTTGCAACTTGTTCCTACTTTCCTTCTTTTACATTACCTCTTAAGATCAACTTTATAGGATGCGATAATGATATTAGTCCTGCAATTTTCAAGGTTTGTAATAAGACAACTATTTTATTTTCATGTATTTTTTTATTAATAAAATTCATAAAACTGTGCCTCTAAAGAAGCCGAAAAGCCTTTTATTAGTTAATGGTTAATTATGTCTTAATCTTAAATTTGAAAGCTTATAATTTTAATTCATAATTTAAATTTAAATAAAAACTATTGATCAAATACGATACAAAATTCTACTACTTTGAATAATAAAATTACTTTAATTAAGTATTATCAATGTTTATAATTTGATAAAAATTTTACTTTATTAAAAATTAAAAATTTGTTTTTATAATATTCTACTTATAAGATATATTAAATATATTTTTGTGTTACCATTAAAATTAACTTTAATGAAATCAATTGCTATTTGCATCAGAAAATATCACTATTTTTTTTATCGCAGGTTGGGGATGATCTGCAGCAAGATATGCTTACCATTCAAATGGTGCGTATAATGGATAAACTATGGCTCAAGGAAGGTCTCGATCTCAAAATCGTTACCTTTGCATGTGTGCCTACTGGCTATAAACGGGGTATGATTGAAATGGTCACGAACGCGGAAACTCTAAGAAAAATCCAAGTAGAATTTGGCCTTACGGGCTCTTTTAAGGATCGACCAATAGCCGAATGGCTCGCAAAACACAATCCCTCCGAGCTCGAATACGAACGAGCGGTTGAAAATTTTACGGCTTCCTGCGCTGGATACAGTGTAGCTACATACATTCTTGGTATCTGCGATAGGCACAATGATAATATTATGTTAAAGACATCAGGACACCTATTTCATATAGACTTTGGTAAATTTTTGGGAGATGCTCAAATGTTTGGAAATTTCAAAAGGTATGGTTAATTTTTTTGGAATATTTAAAAAAAGTTACTTTATCTTTAAAAAGTTTTGAACAAAATTCTGACGATCTATTTCAAATTTTAAATGATTTAGAAAATCAAATATGGATCTTAGCTTCATAGTAATACGTTCATTTACACGATTTTAATTAAATTATTTTTTTCTTTATTAAATACAATTATCAAATATTGTTATAGATTTTTTTTACATCATGTTTATTCATTTATGAAATGCGAAGGTTTAGCTGAGATATATTTTATTTGTAATAGTTGTAAAAGTTGTAAATGTTAAGATTATTTTTAATTGAAACTTTTTTAATTTTACCATGATTTTAAATTGCCCCCACCCTATGTAATATTATAATATATTACATAATGTAATATAATATTAATAATACCCTAATAATATAATAGTATTAAGATTTAGGTTTTCTAATTTTATAATTAACATAATTAAATAATTAACATATTTTTGTTTATCATCGTTTATTACAATATTATAAGTAAATTATAAGCAAAAAGAATCTATGAATAATAAAATTATCATTAAAATTTTATTAAAATATGATTAAAATATCTTTGAGAAAAATTATTTTGTAAACAGAATAAAGAAAAATAAAAAAGGAATAGATAAAAAGACACAATACAACAAACAGTTAATTTTCACAAACTGCGTGAACTTCAAAAATCATAAAGTAAAAGTAGAAAAAATAAAGAAATTAATATCATAGATTTATTATTTAATAAAATGCTATTTTATAATTAATTTAAAAAATAATGAAGTTTATAATATCTAATAATTGCGAGTTAATTATATGTAATTAAATAATTAAATATAAATTCATTATTTATAATTTAAAGAAAGAATATTTATTGTATGTGTTAATTTGTGATATATACTTTTATCATCATTATTGCTATATTATTAATTTATTATTATAAAAAATAAAAATATATCGTATTATTATTTGCATATTTATATCTTTTCGTAGATTTCATATGGTTTTATAAATGTATATCATTATATATAAATTTAGGGATCGAACTCCATTTGTTTTAACATCGGATATGGCGTACGTAATTAATGGTGGCGACAAACCTTCTGCGAAATTTCATCATTTTGTTGAATTATGTTGTCAAGCATTTAACATTGTTAGAAAGCATGGAAATTTAATTCTTCATCTTTTTGGTTTGGTAAGTTATTATAATTGTTTATGTATTATTTAATAGGGAGTAATTGTCATAGTCATAAAAATTATTCATGAAATTTGTTTTTATATAATATTATGAAGGATATGTCTTCCATAATAAGAATATGTTATAATAAAAAATATAAGATTAAAAATTAATAATAAAATAATGTAATAAAAATGGATAAGATTAATAATATAATATAATAAAATAATAATTTGAATAATAAAGAAATATTTTAATTTATTATTGATAAATGTTGATGTATTAATGAACAATAAAAATATTCAATCATAAAAACGGGAACAGAATTATCATTATATTTTTTATCTCGGCGCCTGGAGCACAATCGCTAAGCGTTTGTTTTTGTACAGTTAATTATCATTTGTCTTCTTGGTTTCTGTAAGGTTAAATCGTAAAATATAAAGAATGTTTGAAAATAAAATAATGACAAAGTTTCGTGCAAAAAGATCGAATAACATATTAATATAAAGTATACTTCAAATTATAAGTGCAGTGATATATATATATATATATATATATATATATATATATATATAAATAAAAATGTAAATAAGAACGTTATTTAAAATAATATCAATCTTTATCCTTTAGTTTGTTGTTATAAATGCAAAAAGTTTTAAATAAACCAAGATAGTTATCGGAAATGAGCTATAAGGCTTATTAAAAGGTTAAGATCAATATTAAACTTTTCTTTGTTTAAATTTTATATCGATAACCACTAATTTTAAATATTTTATTATTTATTTTAAAATATGGCATTAAGTTACCTTAATTTTTAATAGAATACTGTTACAGAATAAAGTCTCTTAACAAATCATTATTGTTTAATGCTTATAGTAAATTGAATTTTACAAAAGGTTTTTAATGAATGTATTGTCGTTGCACAAAATCAAACTGTTATATTTCATCGATGTCAAAATAATTTAACGAAGCCAACATTTTTTCTGTACGTTAAATTAAATGAATTTTTTATGATTGCAAGAAGTCAAATAAGTAAACATTTGTTCACATTGACAAGTAAAAAGTAATGCACTGGCAAATTAAACAAAAGAGTTAGTGTAGATGCGCAAAATTACGAAATAATTTCATCGTGAAAAACTGAAGGAGCAAGGAAATTTTATGGTACCTTTGGCTATATCTTCGGCAGATTCGAAAAACAAGTCATGTCGATGCCTCGAGTCAATTCTGAGGATGCGATTGAATAATTATATAATTGCGCAGATGACATCTTCGGGGATACCGGGTGTAACGATGGACGCGGTGAGCTACGTGCAGCGAGCACTACTTCCTGGACAGACGAATCCCGAGGCCGCTGCGACTTTCGCCAGGATGATCGAGAGCTCCCTCAAGAGCTGGTTCACGCAATTCAATTTCTTCCTACACAACCTCGCCCAGCTCAGGTTCAGTGGTGATCACAGCGATGGCGAGCTGCTTTCGTTCATTCCACGCACTTACACGTAAGTTCAACGAGAGATTTTAATTTAATCTTTCAATACAGCTTTCTTTTCGAGCTAGGCGTGGTGTCTTGGTTTGGCTAATCAGCTATTACTACGCGTAATTATTATGCCACCAATGGTGGCATGCATGGCACATTGAGAAGATAACATTCAGTCTTCTGAGCCCATTTTACCAATACATAAATAAATGCTCGTTTACAGAATGCAACAAGAGGGACAATTGACAAGTGTTCAAGTTCATGGTTACCAAAAGAGATACGACCCGGAGAAGTATTACATGTACATTCTTAAAATTCAGAGGAAAAGCCAGACAGATCCAACTTATTTATTTAGATCATATAAGGAATTCTGTGAATTCTATCAGAAATTATGCATACACTTTCCTCTTGCTAAAGTAGCTAGGTAAGATTTTTTTTAAGTTTTAATAGAATAAAATATCATTGATATTATATTTTTAATCTTATTTATATTCAAGAATATATCAAAGTTTTATTACTGCTGCTATATTCATAAGTTAATCAAACAGTATTTAATAGTAAGTCACAACTATAAAAGAAACCATACCATGGTTTATGTAAGATTTAAGCATATTATCGATTGTTTTATGACGTTGTTAATTAGTATTTTTAAGGTTTTTTGAAAACATTTACATATGCATTAATTTGAAATATATTAGCTTCTTTTGTAATTGAAACCACATAAGGCTTACTCACTTTAAAATATTATTTATGTATTTATTTGATTACAACGGGATGTGAAAAATAATTAATATTGTTGATATGAATTATTATCAAATAGTTAGAGAAGTACGGATATGTTTTTCAAAAAAAAAAAAAAAAAAAAAAAAAAAAAAAAAAAATTGATAAAAAATTTCGAAAAATTCGAAAAATTTATTTGATGTTTCAACACAGATAAAACGTAAACATTTATTTTATACAATTATTATGTGCATAAAAGTTAGCAACTTATCAATAATAAATAATATAAATCAATCGATATAACAAATATTTTGATGCATTTTGGAAAAATTAGTCGAATTTTCATACAATTACATTTTCAAATATTTTTAAATTTAAACATTTAAATGAATTGAAGCTTAAAAATGTGAATTATTTATTACACAATTAAAGCTTGAAATATTCATCAATACGTGATGATACGTAATGATTCTCTTATGCACCATTCATAGCTTATTCATCAACTTCTATCTCGCAATTCGATTCTTTCTCGTTAATTGATAAAATTGATAATTTAGATTTTTCATTCTCGTTCGCTGGTATTGAAGAAGCTGTGAAACTGTTTTTAACGCTGCTGTCACATTCGGGTTCGCGTTGCTTCTTCATTGCCTCCCAATAACTCAAGTGCTTGAATGTTCGGTAAAAGCCAGTGCTCTGCGAAGTGAACTTTGTATTCTTGTCGACATCAAACTTTGCTTTCCCGTACATTATACCCATTATTTACTGAAATTAAAAAAATTAAATTATAGTTATTAGGCTATGGATTATCTTTAATCGTTACATAAAACAATGAAAGATATTATGTAAATCACTGCTTTAAGTGCACGAAAATTATTTGGACTAACTTAAGAAACGAGTAGATATTTTATAATTTCAAGCTTCTAAATTGTTTATATAATATTTTTCATTAGAAAAAAAGATATCTATATTATGTGGTTTTCAATTATATATTCTAAATGTCCATTTAATTATTTAATTGATTTGTAATATTTTTTTTTTAATTTGACATTGCACTTAGTTATTGAAGAATTAATTATTTATACGAATGATCGTAGATTCTATATTTATACACCTTAATATTTCTTACTATTATTTATATTTAAATTTTACATGCGGCTAAAGATTTTATGTTCTGCAAATTTTTTCACTCTACTTTACTTTAGAAATTTTTACACTTTTGTAGTTCTTGATTTATCTTTCTAGTTCTTGATCTCGCTTTATCTAATCAGATAAAAGTATCTTATCGTACACGAAAACAAATATTCGTAATTTAAAAACTATTTTGATGAATTTTTATTCTCAATATTGACGATTAATTATAATATAAAAGAAAAAAAAAAAAAAAAAAAAAAAAAAAAAAAAAAAAATTGTGCTTATTTATAGTTTGCCCAGTGGAATGAGCGTTGGACGGTCCAATATTAAGCAAGTGGCTGACAAGAGACGCGCCGATATTGAAAAGTTTCTTTTGAGTCTTTTTAAAATGGCTCCTGAAATTTCGCAAAGCGATCTTGTTTATACATTCTTTCATCCACTCTTGCGAGATCAGCAAAATGCTGATATCCATCTTCGGAAAGTTAAAGGTAAAAGATATTTCTAATTTTATTAAAATTGAAGACTTTTGCAATGTGGATTTTCGTATAAATCTTATAAACATTGATTTCTCTTAGCAATAGAAAAATTTAATTAATAAATATAACTATGAGATATAAATAAGAATAATATTAATGTTATATTTATTATTCACGTTTTTGTATTAATCTTTGATAAAGTATTATATCATTTTTGCTATTTATACGATTACTTCAATATACAATATTTTTGTTTATCAATATATTATAATTGAAATTATTATACATTAATATTAAAAATTAATATTAAATTTATTTACACAGATATACATTTTTTTATATTTTATGAATTTCGTTAATTCCCATGTGACTTGAATATATAATTGCAGTAGGCAATGGTATATATGTATTGTTTACTTGCCACTTCTTATTCAAATTTTTCATTCTTATTTGAAGGACACGTACTATTCAATTCTTAAAAATTAGTTGGTGATTATGTCGAAGTAATTTTTTTTTCTTTTAAAGAAAGCTATTTATTTATTTCGCTTTGACGTTTAACAATGTATTATGTAATGATTTTAAAAAACAAACAACAAAAAAATGCTTATTGCAGTTGGCAATTGGTGGGCTGAGAAGAAGGTTCGAGAGAATGTTCAAAGTGGTCAAGTAAAGCTCTCCCTTCATTACACTCGTGGAACTCTCTGTATTATGGTATATCATGCAAGAGGATTGCCAAAAGTTGCAAATGTACAGGAGCCTAATACCTATGTAAAAGTTTACTTAAAACCTGATCCTACAAAAGCCACAAAGCGAAAGACCAAAGTTGTTAAAAAGAATTGTCATCCGTCTTTCATGGAAATGGTTAGTGAATCAGATTGGATTGTTGTTAGTAAAGTTTTACAGAATATTCTAATATTAATATTACAAGTTGAATTGCCATTAAGAAAATTTTGTCTAAATAGCATTCATTGATTTTCTAACTTTACTAAATTTTAACGAAAAAATTGTATTACATAAAAATAATGTAATCATATAAATAAAATTAATATATTAAATTTGTCGTTATTATATTAATATTACGTAATGTAATAATTATTTATTTAAATAATAATTTAGCTTTTATATTTGATTGGTCGTTATTTGTATTAGAAAATTTTATTTTAATATAGAATCTCTGATAACAACATAAGAATGTTATTTATTAGATTTTTTGTAGATATCAACAACATTATATTAATTTAATCATTGTATAAAATTCATTATTTTGTTCTGTTAATAGTTGGAGTATCGAATGCCATTAGATGTAATTAAGGATAGAACGCTTGAAGCGACAATTTGGAATCATGACACCCTTCAAGAAAATGAATTTTTAGGTGGCATTCGTTTACCTCTCAATCGTATTGATTTGTCAAATGAAATTGTCGAATGGTTTCCGCTGGGCGGTGTTCGATAAATGATGAAACGAATGGGAATAAACGATGTCCCTTTATTTTAATAAGGCTGTGGTGAGATTTTTAAGTTTATGACCGCATTTAAGATTGTAACCGGTCGCAATATTTTTTTTTCTTTTTTCTTTTTATTTTTTCTTAATAGTATCACTGATACGCACAAAAATTGAAATATAATAGTCAACAAATATTTGCACGAAATAAGAAGGAAAAATATTTTATTGCACAGTCTTTAAGCACGAATTTCGACACATTCTATATACATTTAAAAAGTGCGAGCTATTTTAATGCAAAGTGCAGTTTTTTTAAACACGATAATAAATAAAAAGCAAATTGCTTGTTACAAAGCAATTTATATGTTCGATGAAGGAAGATGAATTTTACAAGATTAAGCCTAATTAATTTATTTAAAATGCTTTCGTTTCTTTTTGATAATACATATATTGATAACAATTGTAAATAGATTTTATTATCGAATTTTACACAGCTATAATAGCAGTAGAATTGATAATATAATAATATTAAGCGATTATGAGTCCAAAAACGCGATATTTCTCTCTATAATTTTAAATATATTTTTAAAATGTATTGCTCAAAAGTATGCACATCACGATACCAAAATATCCTTGAGTTATAAGCAACATAATCTGTATTTTTAATCTCAAAAATATGTATTATTAATATATTATAACAATAAGGGAAGAACATACTACCGAGTTGACAACAAATAAATCTTGTATTATAGTTTATAAAAAAAAAATATTTTTTTAAGAGTTCATGTTTAGTTATAATTTTAAATTTGGAAACAAATTGATTTAAAAGTTAATTACATTGGAATTATTTTTAATGTTCAATAAGTTAACCGTACCTTATATCTTAAGCGATGATTTTTAAGTTGTTTCTCTTTGAAATTCGTCATTATTTAGAATTACGATCCGTTTTTTTTTATTTTTTTTTTATGAAGAGCATATTGATAGAAACTATTTATATAAATTATCACGAGTTTAATCGTTTAATAACGGAAATATTTATTATTTGTACAACATGGACTGTGATCTTGGTGTGTAATATTGAAATTTCAATTATTTAAGCAATAGTATGCAAATATTGACTCAGACACGCGTCTGGAAAATTTTAAATCTATTATATATAAGTTTATAGTGCTTGAAAAACTGAATAAATTCTCGAATAACGATCGACCATTTTAATCAAATATTCCACTTGTTATGTAGGTATGAATTGATTTTACATGCTTGGATTGAGCGCAACATACATGGAAATTTAACATTTTAACTTTTAACTTTGAAAATGCTATTGTTGATTATTCGACCGACAGTCTCTTTAGTTATCTAATAGGATTAGTTATTATTTTTTAATTAACGTAAAAAAATACTTACTGCGTCATGTATTAATTACAGACAGTGTAGCAAAAATTAAGATTCAACATTTCGGCGCGCACGTTTGATACTTCATATTGCTGATAATTTTTTATAACAGCATGTGTATAACGAATTATGTGCAAAGAAATATAAATGAGGCTTCTGCAAAAAAAAAAAAACAAAAAAAAAACAAAAAAAAATTACTTACACGTCATGGTACTCATATCGCTTATACATCCGGAATTAAGTAGTAAATTAAAAATAAACTTCCCTTGTAATATACATTTTATTTGATTGTAATTTCCAATTGAAAATATGAATTTTTATATAAATTATCTTTTTGTTCTTACTAAACATGATCTCTTATAATTGTTATTAAATTTACTTAATGTGCACAAGTAAAGACTTTAGGAAGATACACAAGGCTTTGAAAATAGAACGTTGCCTTTTCGGATGCATGTGACGTCAAACGTTGAAATATGTATAAATTTTTACTCTTATCAAATTTCTGTATATATTTAAAAACAAACTTTTAAATGTAATTATATTTAAGTATATTTCTGTATAAATAGAAAGGAACACATATTTATCAATGATTATAAAATAATTATGAAACTATGCTGTTTCTATATGTAGTATTTCAATATTATTTGACGCTCTCATTATTATTCTGAAATATTAAAATCTCTTTCGCATAAATTTTTTAGATAAATTATTTTTATAAATCTTAATAGATATTTATAAATAGTTGCTCTTATTGCATACAATTAAAGTACTAAAGTTTTAGTTTTTTACTTATGTACATTAATATATTTTATAGAAACAAAAAGTTTACTACTTAATAATGTTAGTACTTTTGGTATTTTCTTCTCTTGTTAAATGATTTTTCTTAACCGTATAAGCATATGGTCAATCATTTATGTAATTTATAAATTTATTATAATTTTTTTAATCATTATTATCACTATCTGTTTAATATTAATCAATTAAACAAAGTTTTTAATCGAATGAATGTGTCATTTAATTGACCGCACTAATCATGTTTAAAATAATATTGTACAAGACACATTTTACAATATATTTTCAGATGTATACATTTTTATTTTGTTCGTACATTTTTACAGTATCATGTACGTGTAATTATTAATTCTTAAAATAACAACTTAACAACTTAACGTAGTAAGTGAGTTTGAAAAGCATAGAAACGTATTATTATATAAATTTGACTCTTAATCACCTATTGTGCCCTTTACTTACATAATCAGATGTTTTACTAATTAAACATATTTTTCAGCATTTTTTATATCTTACAAAATTATTTTTTATTATTAATACGTTAGTTTAATATTTAATAATAATAAATAGTTGGTATTGAATCATTTACAAACCATTTACTATGGAATATTTGCATTACACGCATTTTTATAAAGACTGTATATGGCGAAAGAATTGTGAAATAATAATACTGCGTATTTACAAGAAGTTTGTTAATGTATAATGCATATAATTAAGTTTTCATGTTTACATTCAAATATAATTGAAATAAATTTAATTACACTGCCTTCAGTGTGTACATTATTTAATCATTTTAACGGACATATATCATTTCAGAATATAATCATATCATTTTATATAGTTAATAGAGAAAGATGGTTTTTATAAAAGTTTTTATAGTTGTGCAGCGACTAACAAAACGAGTTGAGGCAATTTAACGAAATTTTAAGGTCTCTTAAAAAAAAAAAAAGCCAAAGTTTGACATTTATATTTGACATTAGTATGTTAGAACGGATTTAAACAGATGATCGGTTCTTATAGTTTACTTATAAGTATCCTAAATTAGTAGATAGAATATATTTTTCTCACATATCCAGTTTCGTTGCTGTGTTTTAAGGGCTTATGTTTTAAGGCGACAATGAATTAGTGGATATCACATTTGATTTTAGGAGATTTGGTAAGGCAGTGCGGACATTAGAAAATGATGGTAAATATTTTAAAAACATGTTTTTTTTTCAGAATCAATCCATTTTGACAAAAAGTATGCAGAAAGATGAGTTCAAAATATGGTAGGGAATTGCGCGCTGAATCACATTCACAAGTAGAGCTACTATTTTGATAAATGAGAGGTGCATTCGGTTTTGTTGATAACAGAAAAGCTATAAAATGTTTTTGATAGAATTCCTACCGAAACTGCTACAGCTATTGAGAATGAATACAGTCCTTTGGTATTGTCGACTTTATTTGACAAGCGACTTAACCATCAAACTATTATTATCTCTCGGTAACCGCAAGGAAACCTAGGTAGTGTATCGCTGAGCGGATACAAGGTGCGAAGGAAGTTATTAGATTTGACTATACCGAGCTATACACCCCGATGTGTCGTCACAGGGTATGGGATCGTAAGACGTAACTAATTGTTAATCGATTGAAACAAGCTAAACAAAGATCATCAGCACAATTTATAAAGTTAATGAAAACCTCGTCCTCGTGTAAGATTCCATACGTTGATGTTTAATTCTGCTCAATTTTTGGCAATGACGTTATATTCAAAATAATGTGAACATAGTGTAATTGTTACAGACAATGACAGACTGATTGAATGAGAATGATTAAAATTAATTATCATGGATAAACATAATTTTATCAAGTTTTACTTTATAACTCTATTCTTATGGTATAGAAAACATTCTCTTTGTTTTCTTTAATTTCTTACTTTGCGTTATTTTTTAAAAAATTTAAAAAAAAATTAAATTTATTATAATTCTTGATAAATATAATGTTAAGTTATATTAAAATTCTGCATCGTTATCGTTCATATAGACCATCATATAGACCATTTAAATGATAAATACGCCAATGTATAAGGATAGAATTACAATTTTATAATACTATCAAATCTACTCATATATCGATGTATGACGAAACATCAATTCTCATAATCTCTTGATCTAAAATAAATATTTATAACGTATACATTCAATGATAAATAATTTGATACAATTGAATCACCATACTGCATACAAGAAAATGAAAATAAAATGAGTGGAATGTTGACGATTATGTTTTAATCTTAATTGCAAATTCCAGTCTTACGTTATGAAATGGGAAGCTGTGCCTGCAGCAGTTCGATGTGTGCGGTATATTTTGATTTTCTGCTGTAACCCGGTTGCACTTGTTTCATGTCACGAGATAAAAAGATCGAGGTAAAAGTTGCCATCGATGGGTGCGTTTCTTTTTTAAAATTAAAAAATTCTGCGAGGTAATAAATGAAAATATTTTAGCACCTATCATTGTGAAATAAATGTATTAGACTTTCGATTAATATAATGAAATTTAGCGAAATCTGCTTAGAAAAATTATGATTTCTCGTAATAATTTTCTCGTTTAAATTAAAGTTTTAATTTTCCGGTAAATAAGCTTATTAACTGCAAATAACGAGGTGATTTCTAATAAGATATATGCCCTAAAGTTATATTTGATCAGTGGAGTTGTTAGCAATAGGTAAATAAACGATTGAAATGGAAATAATGTGTTTAGAAAAAAGTTTTTGCTAATAATCGCGATTTTCCGGCTAATAGTATACTATAAATATATCATAGACTGCATAAATGGCAATTTATGAATAATGAATAATAATGTATAATGAATAATTTATAATATATGAAGAAAAACATACTGTTAATATTCGTGAAAGTTAATAAATAAAATTAGAAAATGTGAAGATATTATAGAGTATTTAATAATAGGAAAAATATTTAAATATCGTGTACTCCAGATTAAATTTATCGCTATAATATTTTATGAAACTACGATTTTTTAAAAAAATTTAATTAAATAGTCATAATAAATAGATTTTCTGTTAATATAACTATCTTAATATAACTAAATTTCCCAATGAAAATTTCCTTAAAATATTTATTCAATATCAATAACTTTAGGGATTTTAATATTTTATAATAATACTAATCATGTCCTTTTTTACATATCAATTAATTGAATAAAAATTATATTTATTTACATATATGCTGAAAAAGAATAATAAATTAATAAAAATA